TATTTGTAAGGTTAATTGCATTTCCATTATTTTTATTTTGTTACTTGCATATCCAATATATTTTAAATATTTCTTGCATTTCCATTTTTTTTGTTAAATAGCTGATTCAAGCACAAATGTGGTTCAGTGCAACCGGAGGTGGCAAAAAAAGTTTCACCCATCATGAATGTTGGGAGGTGGTGAAATATTGTAAAAGATTCTTACCTCGAGAATACCTATGTCTGTCCACATTCCGGCGACGGCCGACTTGTGAACCACGGCGGCGACCTTGGTTCTCTTCCTCTTCCATTGCCACTGCTATGAGAACTTGTTCATCGACTTGTCTCTGCAACTCATTGATTTCATCGGCTCTACGATTTCTCTTCTTTCTTTCTTGCTCATGCCTTTCCAAGCATCTCATATATTCTTCCATTGAGAATACTCCATCCATTGAGAATGAATGGAGTATGAATTCTAAACTCTAAGAAATGAAAATATAGAAAGATGTGGTGTGAGATGTATGAGCTGAGCCTCTGGTTTTATAGAAAAATTTGGCAAGATAGAGATGCCACATGACTTGATTTGATTGGATGAAAATCTTATCTGAAATTTGAAATTCATCCGAAATTTGAACCAAAAAATTTATCTGAAATTTGAATTTTGAAATTCATCAGAAATTTGAACCCAAAAATCTTATTCAAAAATTTTATCTGATTATGAATAGTCTTGACATGTAGGAACAAGGAAATCTTATCCGAAAATATTATCCAAAATAATTATTGAGGTAAAAAAAATTGTGAATAAAACAAAAAAATAAATAGTAACTGCCCTTAGCAAGGGCAATGAGTGGAAACACATAAAACTATTTGCAAGGGCAACCACTATTCACATAAATAGTGGCTGCCCTAGCTCCCCCTTGCCATGGCTAAGGGCAAATGGGTGGAGTTGCTCTTAGCTCTTGTGGGTGGAAGTGTTCTTATGGTGTTCTAAATCTAATAAAGCCTATGTTCCCAAAAAAAAAAAAAAAAACAGTTGCTCTGTTGCAGCCCGATCCGAGAGTCGAACTTGGGCCAAAGTCAGCGCCGAAGCCTGACGAGTAGCGAGCCCATAACGAATGGCCACGTGTACTCAGAACGCCATGCAATCACAGAACACCATGTCATACTATGACGTGGCGATCAACACTCAATTACCAGAAAAGCCCTTGGGTATTTCATACAAAGACCAATAGAACCGTTAAAACAGTCTCCTCACTCTCACAGACACAGAGTCGTCTTCTTCGTCAGTCTTCGCTCTCAGCCGAAAAACCTAAAACTAACAAAAGGAAAATCCCACATGACGTTCGTTCTCTGATTCATCAATGGCGGATCTGTTTGGACTCGCATGCCTTTGAAGGATCACAACTCTTTCTGTTTCATTTGGTAACTGCAAATGGGGACCCGTTTTAAATTCGTGTTTTGTGCTGTGACCATCGTGATTTGTTTGGGAGTGTTTGGAATTGGTTCGGTTTCTGCTCAGAATCGAAGACCTAAGAATGTTCAAGCTGCGGTTCGGGCCAAGTGGTCCGGTACTCCATTGCTCCTAGAAGCTGGGTAGGTTGCATATGCATTTATGAATGTGAATGCTTGCTTATTATTCTCATTAAGTCTGTTAAATTTTGCGTAAGTTTTTCTTTCCATGATTTAATGCAAAGCGCATGCTTTGACGAATAGGAATTTGCTTGCCCTTATTCAAAAGAAATGGAAAATGATGGTTGAATAGGAGTGCGTTTTGGCAACCATGGAATGAGCAATGCCTCAACAAATATAATTCCAACATGGTAAAATGAAGTTAAAATGGCGAGAGTTAGGCGTCGAAATGTTAGAAAGAAGAAAAGTAAATGATATCTAACAGTTTTTTTTGTATGGAGATAGTCAATCTTAAACTGATTTGGACACTTTCCTTTATTCTTTCTAGTATATGTAGAAATTTAAAGAATTCATTAATTTTATGTAGTTTAGACGGCAATTGTTGTGACATTATTCAAAAATCAATTTTTTTCCCTATAGATGACCAAAAGTATGAGTCCTTTCATGGAGAAACTAGCATTGGGACTGTGAAATTTGTCCCATGAGTTTTCCACAATCTTTCCAAACAGAAGGAGTCACTGAATCTTAAAGGGGATCATGGTCTTGAATGTAAGTTTAGGTCAGAATAAACGTGTCATAAACACAAGCCCTTTGCTCCCTCTGGAAATTCTAAAAGGGATGAGAGTTTTGAGGTGGTTTTGAGTTTTGGATAATTTTGTCTTGGAACTTGGAAATGCATGCATGTTCCAGTAGGATACATCATAATATTGTGCTCATATGATGGTTATAACAGAATCATATCTTTTAGATGATTATTTGTTAGATAAGTTAAAATTTGGTGTTGAAATGTAATTGAAATCAGTAAATTAAATTTCCCTGATTTTTGTAAATACAGTTTATTTTCCTATGTTGTGCCTTTCTTAAGCTATTATTATCTTCCGTCTTTTGTTATATGCAGTGAATTACTATCAAAAGAACAGAAAGACCTTTTTTGGGACTTTGTTGAGGTCTGGCATCAGAGTGAGAAGGATGATGTTAATTCTCATAACGCTAAAGATTGCTTAAGAAAAATTGTAAAACATGGCCTCTCTATTTTAAGTGAACCACTGGCATCTCTGTTTGAATTCTCTCTTATGCTGAGATCTGCATCTCCAACATTGGTGCTTTATCGACAACTAGCTGAGGAGTCTCTATCTTCTTTTCCTCTGGTTGATGAAAGCAATTCGAGCGAGCATGTAGAAGGTAAAAGGTCAGATCCCTTGAATGTTGGTCTAAACCCAAAAAGCCCTAATGGGAAATGTTGTTGGGTGGATACTGGAGGTGCACTGTTCTTTGATGCTGCAGATTTGAAAATTTGGCTTCACAGTCCCAGAGAGTCGTAAGAACTGCTCTTTCATTTTGCTTTGTTATCTATCTCTGCCTATCACTCTAAAAAAAGAAGCCATATTGGGCGCAATTCCTCACTTTATATTTCTTGGTTTTCAGCTCTGGAGATTCATTTCAACAGCCTGAAATTTTCGAATTTGATCACATCCATTTTGATTCAAGTGTTGGAAGTCTGGTTGCTGTTCTTTATGGAGCTCTTGGAACTGATTGCTTTAGGGAGTTCCACCTCACCCTAGTTGAAGCTGCAAAAGAGGTTCGCAACTTGTGTTATTCACTTTAATATCCTTTTGGACATTAGAGTGATTACTCATACTACGTTAGATTTTTCTTTGTTTTCAATTTGGAATAATTGTATTAGAAGCCGCAAACGTGGGTTAGGCCAGTTGGCCAGGGCAGTGAGCCCACCCCCTTGCACCCAAGTTCGAATTCCCCTCCCTGTATGTTAGATTAATTTAGAGTAATTTAGACTATCGCTGGTATTCAAAGAAAAAAAAATTGTATTAGAAATCTAGAAATGGCTATCAATCATATTATAATACATCAGGGAAGGTGAATATAGCCCAATATATTTAGGTGTAGCAAAGTAAAAGTAATTTTGGATTCTTAGAATTTTTTTTGTTCACTTGAGCAACATAAATTGCTTACATACCAACTGGTTATAGAAATTAGAGGCTTATATTACCATGTAGCTTTCTTTTGTTTTTTGACCTGCATTTCATTTTAGCTTATAAACCATAGGGCAGATTTAAAAATGTTTCTAATAGAGGCGGTAGGCGTTAGACATTTGAAGCAGTGACTGAATCTACACTTCTCACCAACAGAAACACTTTTTGCAACATAAGATGTAGTGTATTTTGTTTCTGATCTTGCTACAAGCATAGAACTAATGTAATAGCATTGGCAAATACCAATTTGTCTGTTAATTGTAGGGATACTCTTTGAAACACATAATGCCTGGATGTACGGTAGTGAACATGGGGGAAATAATTGATTTAACGTGTCAGCTTTGTATTCTTTTTGTTCATTTTCTACTTTTTCCTTTATTAACTTGTCGAAGTGTAATGTGCCACTAATATTACCAAATTATCATGATGCTGTCATGTTTACCAGCTGTGTAATAGCTCTGTTATATGCGTACATTTATATGTAGTGGTATATATATTAGGTGAGTGTTGCATGCATTATTTTATGCGCATCATACGTACCTTTGATTGTTTGCTAATTTTTATGTGTGATTTTATGCTATATTTGCTCATACATTGGCTAACTTCCAGGGAAAAGTTAAGTATGTTGCTAGACAAGTATTGCCTTCTGGCTGTGATGCGGAGATTGACCATTGTGGTGCTGTTGGTACAAGAGATTCAGTAAACTTGGGTGGTTATGGAGTAGAACTTGCTTTGAAGAATATGGAGTATAAGGCTATGGATGATAGTACTATAAAGAAAGGTTAGAATAATTGATTCTAGCTGTTGCCCTTGAGCACCCCCGCTGTGCTTAATCTTTAGAAGTTAAAAGTTGTTTTCTCTCTGGGAAGCTGGTGCTGGTGAAGGGTTTCTCTGTTCAATCTTTTACAACTTAATTTGTGTATTAGTCTACTGCCTTTTGGGATAGTTATTTTACTGCACGAGTATACACTTCAATATTTTTAAGCGTCTTAATCTCAGAAGTTATTTTTATAATTATTTCCTTAATTTCTGTGTGCCGAATTACAGTTTCTCTTTCACTTGATTTTATTTACTGACTTTTTCATGGGTTGTAGAAATAGTTCCAGTTCTTTCAATTGGGTTTGTACATGCTTTACGCATAATTTTGGTTTCATGATGTTGAGTTCAGTTGGAGTCAATTCTCAAGGTGGGGGATTTCTAATTTCTTCCATTTCGGTCCTCTTCCCACTATCCAGTGGTACATGAGTTGGACATCTTTCATTCATTTATTCTCCACTTTTCATGTGGCTCTTTAATTTAGAATAGCTTTTGCTTTTAGGCAAGCCTTAGAATATGTTATCTTTTTTTCTTTTCTCGAAAGTTCGATAGCAAGTGAGTTGTGTTGCATGACTTTGAGAAGAAAACTTTTGCACTTAAGTATATAACATAGAAAAAAACTAGGCTAATACATGAGCGTGTTCTGTGCGTGTATAGGGTCTTTGTTGTTATAGTTGTGGATATGTGATAAAAAAATTGAAATTAAATTAAATGTTCAAGGTTGTTGGAACTCTTTTTAAAAAAAACAAAATACTATTTAGATCACTAAAGAATTCTATTCGAATTTCTATACTAAAAAATCTAAATTTCCATTTTCATAGAAAGATACATTTTGTTAATCACACTAAAAGAGTATATGAATGGGGGCAAGCTGTCCACTACAATGACCTACCACATCCATTTGCCAGAACAAAACCTAATCTGCTGATTAACAAAGAACTGCCACATCCAACATATCCAAAGTTATATTTGCAGAAACAAATTCACCAGAACATCAATAACTGAAACCGAATTGA